ATGTATATATGAATGTACTTGATGGGGATAGGGAGCACATACCACAGTGGATGTGTGGCAGTCAAAGAACAATGTGTGGGAGTCTGTTCTCTCCTTCTAGCATATAGGTCCTGGGGTGGAACTTAGATCATTAAGCTTGGCAGCAAGCACCCTTACCTACTGAATGATCTCGCTGACCACTCAATAGGAACTTTCTTCTTCTTTGCTTATAATAAGTAGAAATGAAAGAATTCACAGCTGCAATTAATTTTAAGCTTTTTATAAGACTCTACTGTTAGAAATCCATGGCAAAATGTTACAAAAAGATTTCAAAAATGTATATATAGACATGAATTTTAAAATTTTTAAAAAATTTTCATGTGTTTATGTTGTGTGTGTTGTGTGTGTACACACATGCATTTGTGTTTGTGAATAAGGGCACACATGTGCCATGGAGCACATGTGGAGATCAGAAGACAAGCTCCGGTATCAGTCCTAGCCTTCCACTTTGAGACAAGGTCTTTTTGTTGTTTGTCCCTATGTGTTCCAGGCTCACTGGCCTTTAATCTTTAGAGGATTCTCATGTCTCTGCCTCCCATCTTGCCTTAGAAGCACTGGGATTACAGGTGACTGCTGCAGTGTCTACCTGTATATGGGTTCTGGGAATATGAACTCAGGTGCTTACACTTGTGCAGCAAGCTCTTTACCCATTGAGCCATTTCTCTAACCTTTAAATTTTCTTCTTTTAAATTTTTTTGTTGTTGTTGGGCATAGTGGCATGCCTTTAATCCCAGCAGTTGGGAGGCAGAGGCAGGTGGATCTCTGTGAGTTCAAGTTCAGTCTGTTCTACATAGCAAAAACTCAGGCCAGCTGGGGCTACAGGGAGATCCTGTCTCAAAAAGACCAAAAAAAGAAATTAAAAATGTTTTATTTTACATATGAGTATTTTGCATACACATATGAAGGTGCACCTGAGACTGCAGTACCTGTGGAGGCCAGGAGAAAGGGTCAGATCCCTTGGAACTGAAGTTATAGGTGATTATGAGCTGCCCTGTGAGTGCTGGGAGCCAAACTTGGGACCTCTGCAAGAGCAGTCAGTGCTCTTAACCACTGAGCCATGGTCTCCAGCCACCCCCCCCCCTTTTAAATTTATTTTGGCTGATTTTGTAGATTTTTTTTAAAGTGAAAATTTCACACATACCATCGGACAGGGTGCACTTGATCTGTTGATGGAAATAGCAAGGCTCAGGAAAACGCTAGCCTGTCCTTTTAGTCTACCCCAAAGACAGAACAGAGTTTCTAAACTATCTACATCACATGCCCAGCACTGAAATGAATTTTGAAAATCAATCCTTTGGTAAATGGGGGAATAAGTACAGGGAAAGAAGTTTTCAGGTCAGTAAGATGGCTCAGTAGGTAAATGTGCTTGCTGCCAAGCCTGGCAACCTGAGTTTGTTCCAGGAACCTACAGGATGGAAAGAGAGAACTGACTTCCACAAATTGTCCTCTGACCTTCACACATGCATCATGGCGTGTGTACACATATATACTCGCATGTATATGTGTGGCAATAAATAAATGTAATAAAAATTTAAAAGAGAAGTTTCCTATGTATATTGTTTAAAAATAAAAAAGCCTTGAGCACACTTTTAGTCCCAGCACTGAGGAGGCAGAGGCAGGCGTATCTCCATGAGTTTAAGGCCAGCCTGGTCTATATAGTGAGTTCCAGACCAGTTAGGGGCTACAGGGAGACCCTGTCTCAAAAAAAAAAAAAAGACGAAAAAAAATTAAAGATAAAAAAGCCTGCTATATAACAGTATATATCATATGCTATTTGTATCTAATGAGAAAGTTGTATTTGTAGAACTGGGGATGTAGCTCATTTGAGGCCTTGCGTGTACAAAATCCAGTTCTATCCCAGCACCACATAAATCAGGCATGGAGCAGGAGGATCAAAAGTACAAGGTCATTCTCAGCTACAGAATGAGTTTGAGATCAACCTCAACCCTGTCTTTGTCTTTAAAAAAAAAAA